CCAAAAAGTATATACTAGTAAAAAATTCGCAAAAGAAGTTACACAATTGACCGGAGGAATGAATACGATAGAGTAGAAATTGATGTACTATGGTTCATAAAAGATAGCTTGATCTCTGCGACAGCTGTCAGTAAAAATCACGCCCATGAAGTCCTGAATTTCTTAGTAGTACAGACAGGGTGCGTTTGGCAGAAAAAAGCGCTAGCAAGCGCTTGTAAGCAAAATGGCGATCGTAAGCGGTAAGCGCTGTCAAATCGTAAGTAGCTATTTTCTTCCAGGACACGATGTTAGTTTTAACCGGGGAATCTAACCTAATTTAAATATATGTTTGTAAAGTATTCATATTAAAAACTTACCAATCATGAGTTTTTAATAGCATGTATATGTTTATTCATGTCATTATATTACTTAAAACTAATATTGCACAAAGCAACTTATAAACTCTACTTCAAAACAAACAAATTAAATAAGCAAAATGGCGGATTGTGTCAGCGCTACTGAAGTAGCAATCGTGTCCTGGCCGAAAACTATTTTAGCGCTTATAAGCGCTTGCTAGCGCTTTTTTCTGCCAAACGCACCATCGATCACTAATATTAGCTCTTTTCTATACTCAAAGAATATTAGTGATCGATGTACAGACAGTACCTGTCAATGTCATACTTTATGGGCATGCCAATTGCCGACCTATATATTAGTGCATGCCCATAAAGTATGACGTTGACAGGTACTGTCAGTATTCTCTGTCTACGTGTCAGTACTACTAAGAAATTCAGGACTTCATAGGCGTGATTTTTACTGACAGCCATCGCAGAGATCAAGCTATCTTTTATGAACTATAACTACGTAGTTACGTTTCCTGTTTCTATGTTTTCTTATCTGTGCCTAGTACGTAGAATGTAGACAGAGAATGCCTATTTCATTTGTAACACTCAGTATTATACAATACACTTCAATTAAACAAGGCACTCTGCTTTATAGACTATATTTTAATCACTACGTACGTTTTATTCTGCTTTATGATTCTATAATTATTACGGCGCCTCTACACGTTGACCAACACAGTGGCGAATGTAGCGGCCAATAGCATTGGCCAACGTGTAGACGGGGTGTTTGGGCTTCATTGGTATGTATTGGAACGATGGCCCGCAAGTTGGCGCGAGATCCGTGTGGTGTCGGTTTTTCACAAAAGATCAAAGGATTGTTGGCAGAGTTTGGTCGCCGCGTCCACACGTTGACCGCGAGTTTAGTTTGCTACAAGCTCCCAGAGTGATTACACGCATCTGATTAAAATTTTATATTCACGCTTTGTAGGGTGGATGACCCAATTACCAGCCTTTTAGTGCCAATTGCAACTTTAAACATTCCTACCACTTTAATTAGCGCGATTTAATTATTTTTAAACATTTGTTTTAATCGATAAGCTATTTATAAAAAAAAATGAACATTTATTTACAATCAGATTATTACGAGAACAATTTTAAAATGAAAAAAAAATGAAGCACGTCGTTTATACGTGGTAGAACCATGCAGTTATATTAGAAGTATAGTTGTAGCACGAATGGGTCGGTTCGACCGGGGAAGGACCACGCTCTCAATATCATATGAATATCAATGTAAAATAGTAGCTTAATGATGCTGTGTTTCGTATAGTGAGTGTAGAGAACCAGAGACACTTTTTAGAGGAAACAAGGCATTTCATCTTAGTCCTCACGGGTGACAACGCATCTGCATTTTGATTCATAATCGAGGATAGATGTAGATGTCTGTGGGCCACAGCAACCACTTACCATCAGGTGAACTGTGTGCTCGTTTGTCACCCTATCCTATATAAAAAAGCGTCGATTTCTTATAATTTAATCGTGCAAGTTTTCGAATCATCATCATCATTACAGCTCTTCACAAGTCCACTAGGAGGATGTTCACATGCTCCTCCAAAGAATGCCGCAAAGCATGGTCCTGAGCCACTTTCCTTGTCATGAGTTTTTCATTTATGTTCTAAGTTATAATTAGTACCTATTATTAAGTCAGTGTTAATTATATTTATTGCTATTGTTTTTGTCTTTCTCTAAAAATAATTAAATTACCAAATAAATTATAAGGTGTTTTTTTATATACATCAAATGTCTGATAGAAAAGCAAGTACATGTTTTGCTAAACTTTAGAAACAAAACCCAATTTTAAAACATAAACTAATCGATTATAACTCCTTTAACTTTAAAATAAGTTAAGTTCTAATTAATGGTATTTATTCCAGTTTCTGATGCATGTAAAGAATAAATAAAGCTAATCGTATATCGTATATCTATTTTAAATTAATATTCACTATTCTTTTATAATTATTTTATAAAAACGTTACCCCCCACACTTGGATTTTCTCCTGTATCGCGGAGGCAACTTACAAACATAAATTGCACAAGGACACACATCTAGACCCGAAACAATTATTTGTAGGATATACAAATACTTGTTCCGTGCGGGATTCAAACCCGCGACCCCTGGCACAGCCACTCATTTTCAAGCTACTGCCCACGGAGCCATCGTCTAAAATAAAATAAATTCGTCCGCACATTGGCCCAAACCGAAGTAAACTGAACGACCTTCCAACGTGTGGACGCCGTCACCAACTCTCGGCCAATATATTCGCCACTACATTCGCCACTGTGTTGGCCAACGTGTAGAGGCGACATTAAACATAGTTGATAGTGATCATTGATGTTAGTGATTATGTACTCTACTTGTGTAAATACTCTTTGATTCATAGACTTAGAGTCTTAGAATATACCTACTGGGATATCTATGCTTTGATTTGATCATGATAGTCATTTCCATATGTCAGCAAACTTGTAGATGTGCCAACTCGGAAAAACCACAACTCGAGTTAAGAACTCGAGTAACGCAACTCGAGTTAGCAGGACGTAGCGGAGTAAATAAATTGTTACATATTATTACTTTTTTATGAATTTGTTTTTCTATCTAACTCTATGTTGGGTTGGGAAAACTATTATTACTTAACTTAGTAGGCAGGATTGAAATAAAAAAGGTATATTTAGTATGTATTACATAATTATAATTTTTTTAGTCTTAGTTATAGTAAGCACCTTTATTTAACAGCAAAGCTATCTATATAGCAGTCTTCACAAAACGATATCAGTTGAGCATTCAGAAGTAGGTACATAAGCTCTTATTAGTTTAATAATCAATGTCAAAGTATTCTTAACTATTATAAAATGCTAAATAATATCAATTATTTTGATAGTAGCTAAGACTCTTCGTTGAATTTCTTCATTAAACCTAATTATCAAGATATAGTACCACTGAGTTAAAAAGTATTTCAATCGAGTATTTTACGAATAAATAAAAGAAAAATAATACTACATACATATACATACATAAACACTCACGCCTATCACCCAGAGGGGTAGGCAGAGACTACAGACTTCCATTTGGCACGATCCTGACACACCTCTCTCGCCTCCTTCACATCCATACACCTCCGCATACATGCTCTTCGGTTTAGGGTACTCCTAATTTGGCCCGTTTTCAATAAATCGCCAATTTGGTCGATAAATTTTCGCCTAGGACGTCCCTTTTCGAATTAAAATAATACTCTAAAACGAAAAAGAAGGCAAAGACCTGACGGCATGACATCAGAGGCAGTTGATCTAAGTAAGCGCCGCAAATATGTGTCTCTGAAAGATGACTACACATTTTTATCATTCGCTGTAAGGGCTATCGATACGTGGGATCCACGTGCGGTAAAGTTTCTAAGGGAAATCTATCCGCGACTGGTCGTTGCTGCTGGTGATAAGAGGGTTAGTGCTTTTCTCACTCGAAAGCTGAGTATAGCTATTTAGCGAGGAAACGCAGCTAGCATTTTTAACACGATACCACGGGGAATAGGCTTGTATGATAATTTCAGTTATTACTTTTATTTTATTTATTATAATATTTTTTTCAATATTGCATAAATTTCAATGTTATGTAAGCATTAAATATGAGAAAACGAAATATATATAAATAAGTTATATATAAGTTAACACACTCATAAGTAATTTCAACAAAAATATTCTCAAATATACGTGGTAGTCACACTGTAGCTATATTATGGTTGTATCACGAGTGGGTCGGCTCGACCGGGGAAGGACCACGCTCTCTCAAATACAGGTAAAATTCAACTAATATTTCGTATGGTGAGTGTAGAGAACCGGAGACCCTCTTTTACTGGAAACGAGACATTCCATCAAGGGTGACAACACATTTGCGTTTTGATTCATAATCGAGGATAAATGTAGATGTCTATGGGCCACAGCATCCAATTACCATCAGGTGGACTGTGTGCTCGTTTGTCACCCTTATTCTATAAAATAAAAAAGTAAATAACTACCTACATAATTTCTTGTAAGTCAGTTAACGTATCTATAAACAAGTTAGTATTTTCGGCAAAAAAATAGTTTTCTAAAAAATTCTATCTATTCACACAACGAACGAACCGCGCTCTTAATTTTTCGCTCGCTCGTTTAGTTCATTTATGTACAGCCAGCCCACATTCGAGTTAGATAGATGCAACTCGAGTTGACCCATCGCTAAGCAAACTCTTAGTAGTCTGTGACTCTGAATAGTGTTCTGTGGTGACTGTGAAGTAAACTGTATTCCTGTATTGCATTTGCATTGCCATGGTAACCTATTGTTTGGCTTTAATTTGAGTAGATTAATTAGCATATATTACTGAATATGTAATTACTATAAAATAAATATACAGTAAAAAGGGGTATAAGGTATAATCCATTAAATGCTGGTAGTACCTTATGGCATGATTGTAATAACTATTTAGGTGAAGTAAGGTAGTAGCTATGAAAATACCCCATGGTTCCTTAGTAATATATAACAGGAATTAATGTATTTTTATGGCCTAAAAATACACATTTATTGTGGCAGCCGTATGTATGCAAGCTGTATTTACAATAATTATTCATAATTAAAGCAAAATTAGAATTTTGAAAATGGATTCTATGGATCTTTTAGCGCGAGAAAATGAATTTAAAAAACTCAACAAGCAGTTACAGAAGAAAACTGAAAGTCTAATGAAGGAAATAGAGAATGTGATGGTATGCTTCTTCATTATGTTGCCCAACTTTTGCTGTAATTTTTACTATCTGTAATTTGTATCTATTATCAGTCTTTAAATTTTTTTTGCAGCAAAAGCAAGATATTTTTTCAGATATATCACCAAATCTTAGAGTTACTCCTCCTAACAATTTAAAAAAACATTGCTGTGATTTAACTAAAGCAACCACATCGAACAGCTTGAATAATAGTAATAAAGATAACATCAAAAACAAAGAAAAAGTATTAGGAGTTAATCTGGATAATGACATATCTGTACAGGACAAAAATCAAAATAAGTACCATTTTAGAACACACAGTAAATCTGATTGCACGGAGCAAGTTACATGTCACAATTGCTCATTTGATTCAAATGAGAAGATGCAAAATGATCTAGAATTTTTATATGCATTTGTTTCTGTTAATGTTAAGGACAACATACTGCCACACTCATTTTTAAAAGGTAACTTTATTAATGATTTAAATAATTTGTTCTCTTGTATTTAGATTGTGGGGCTGCATTATTTTATATTTTGCTAGGTACTGCCTGCTGTGTTATGTGTCTGGCAAATCTCTATCGAACCATTGTTGGTGAAAAAAATTGAAGAAATTCTTATACCTAATTAATTTTATTGAATGTAGCAAATATAAGAAATCATGTAATATTAGAAAGTATTTTGTTAGAATATTTCAAAAGATAAGCCCTATGGTTAAAACGGTGACAAATTTTATAAAAAAGACTGCATAAAAAGAGAATTTTTTTATAATGTACAACATCTTTCACAACTAAGACATATCTAACAGCACCCATATGTTAAAATCCATCAAGCCATTTGACTACAGAGCATTCTTTTATAGAATAAGGGAGACGACTGAGCACACAGTAAACCTGTAGGTAATTTGATGCTGTGGCCCATAGAGTGTGGTCTTACCCCGATTGAGATGACCCATTTGTGCTGCAGCCATAATTAAGCTGCAGCATGACTCTTCCACGTAAAAAGGAATCAACATAATATGCACATACATCTCTCTATATATAAAAATCAATTGATGTTCTTAGTCTCTCTAGAACTCAAAAACAGCTTGAACAATTTTGATGAAAGTTTTTGTGCACATTTGAGTGGGTCCCTGCGTGGTTTAGATTCACAATTAGACCCGGAAGATGGCGCTGTTGTCGAGATCCAGAAATATCACCTGTGCAAAGCCGGGGCAAATTACTAGTTATTCATAAATACATACATACTTTTGTAAAACTATCCACCTGGAACAGTCTGGTAAAAAGAACAGTATTTTGGCATACTTTGGTTTTATTAAATAGAAAAATATATCGAAGCAAAATAATACAAATAAACATATTATGCTTAAAACATCTACGATTTTAAACTTATATGCCAGAGTTCGACTAACATCACATCTATTGGTAACTGGTAATGAAGCCATAGGTGGTCAATCATACTGGAATAAAAATATAATTTATAAGTGGTAGAGCCATGCTGCAGCAATATTATGGTTGTAGTACAAATGGGTTAGGTCAACTGGGGAAGGATCACACTCTCACATAATACCAGTGTAAAACTAGCAGCTTAATTATGCTGGATTTCTTATGGTAATTGTAGAGAACCAGAGACCTTTTTGTTGGTTGCATTTTATTTTTAATCGAGGGAGGCGAAAGAGGTATGTCAGGATCGTGCCAAATGGAAGTCCGTAGTCTCTGCCTACCCCTCTGGGTGACAGGCGTGAGTGTTTATGTTTATATGTTATGTATGTATGATATATGTTGATGTCTACGGGCCACAGCATCCACTTACCATCAGGTGGACTATGTGCTCTTTGTCACCCATGTTCTATTTAAAAAAATGACAACAAAAACCTACCTACCTACCTATATATTTATATACCTACCTGCAACCCAATGTGTGAACACACATAAAACATTTTTTTATAGGAGAGGGGGCAAACAAGCACATATCCACTCAATAAAATAAAATGATGTGTCTTAACTAGTTTGAAGAGCACCTTCCGCCCTACCTCAATTGCGTGCACTAATCCCGTCACCACTAATCCCGTATTAGCACCACTACTCCCAACACTTCTTCACTAGGAAAGACACACCAGCACCACCACTACCACCATCACCACCACCACCACCACCACCACTCTTTATTCAGAGAGATTGTGTACAAGAAGAAAAGTAGTAGTTTAGTTTAGTTTACGACGGGCTGTTTTCCGCAACTCCACGTCTAAGCGCGTATTTTGCGTGTGGGCAGAAATAATGTGATTATTCAAGCCATGAAATCTCTCTGAAGAAGTTCAACAGTCCTTTGATGTTGCAAGCAACTTCGGGGAGCGATTCTGGCGTGCCAAGATGTTTAGCCCTGTATGAAGCGACCTCCGAACATTTCAGAAACACGTGAGCCGCCGTTTCTTCTTCCCCCACATAAGCCCTGCACAGGGGGCTTACTGTAACACCTATGGTAAATAAATGTTTGTTAAAAGAACCATGTCCTGTGATAACACTTGTTACTATCCTGATCTGTGGCTTGTTCAGTTTCATTAGAACCTTAGTTAGATGACTGTTTATTTCAGGCAGGGCCTCCCTAGCTTGTCTACAGTCTACAAAAAAATTCCAAAGCTGAGCGTGTAATTTTAGAACCATCCGTGAAAACTCTAAGCTCTTTTGGGTTTAATGCCTCTAGCTGGTCAGTTTCATTTAATTGTATCTGGTAATTCTTATCGAATACAAATTGTTTTGAGATCTTATTGTACTTGGCTTGTAAAATAGGAATTTTTGAGTAAATTCTATCAATTATGCCCGTATGGGGGACTCTACTCTTACTTAAAAGATTTAGGGTCTTGAGTCTAATGGCAGCTAAAGTTGCTTCTTGTTGTATATGTAGATGAAGCGGTGTTAGTTACAGTATAGCCTCTAAAGCTGCTGTCAGTGTAGTTCTTATGCAGACCGTGGCAGCCACACATGCCAATCTCTGGTAAAGTAATTATAGTTTTGTGCAGCCACAGTATAATTTTTGGCGTCAAACCCCATCGTTTGCCAATCATGTTTCTGCATTGCCAGAAAGTTATACTAGCTTTGTTGGTTTTGTTTTCTACATATTTATTCCAGTTAAGTTTACCATCCTAGGTAATACCTAAGTATTTTATCTCAGAGGATAGCTGGAGTTTTGTGCTGGAAAGACTTGGGAGATGATAGTTATTCAGCATTCGTTTTTGTGTGAACATTACTAGAACCGTTTTGTTTGGATTAATGTTTAGGTCATATTCCCTGCACCATCTCTCTACTATACGGAGAGCCGCTTGGGTCAGGTCTTATACCATGCTAGCTGTCTTTCCAGAGACCAGTATTGTGAGATCATCTGCATAACCTATTGTGTAGAAATGATTAGCATTTAATTTGCTGATGAGTTCATTAATGACCATATTCCACAGGTGAGGTGAAAGAACCCCACCCTGCATCCTTTCATGATCTGAATTGTTTGAGATTGTTTGAGATAGGTTCTAAAGTGGTCAAAACATTGTGTCAGACACTTATAAATGATGGCTGGAATGGTCATGTCGACTTTGACAATTTTTTTTGAAGTCCAGGTCTGATCCAATTTTATATGATGCTGGAATTTATGCAACAGCTACAGTCAGATGTGATAGGCAAGATATGCCATTGATAGTAAAAAAACAAAAGCGACTGGAGTTGAGGAATATGATGCCAAGTAGTCGAAAGCTGCAGAAATAAAAGTAAAGACGTCAAAAAATTGAGAAAGGGCAGTAGAAATTAAGAGTTAAAAATTATGTTGGATTTGTCGTGTGGAAGGATACTAAATTGGTTACAGCTCTTGCAGTGCGTTTTATCCACGTACTAAAACAAGCTGTACCAGATGATTAAAACTACTTTTACGGATTTTATCGCGTTTATTTTTACTTTTTATTTTTAATTCCCGACGTTTCGGGCGCTTTCCAGCACCCATGGTCACGGGGGACTGAGATGACTGACGTCCCGATGTCATTGTTAAACCCGGAGTACCTTCAGCTTTTTTAATTATTGTTTATGGTCCGATCTATGCAAAATGAACTGACTATGTCCTGAGGTCTTGCAGTGGTATGCTTGGGTTTAGTTTTAATTTTATTGATTATAGGATCCCAAGCAGGTGGTAGTACCCAGCCTCCTTCTCTATTGAAATTAGGATGTTTTTTAATTTCAATAGCCTCACGTATCATCCTTGGTAGGAATCGGTGTTCTTTCGCGAGGATTTGTGGTCTATCAAATCTGATGTAATGGTTGGGGCCGTCTAGGATATGATCACAAACTGCAGACTTCCCGGAACGTTGATGCTTCACATCAGCTATATGTTCTTTTACGCGGGTCCTAACTGATCTTTTGGTTTGTCCTATATAAGAGAGACCACATTCACAATCAAGCTTGTACACTCCTGCATCTTGTAGAGGAATGTGACACTTGACGGATGGTAGGAACTGACTAATCTTCTTCGGCGGCTTGTAGAATGTTCTAATAGAAGCTCGCTTCAAGATATAGCCAATCTTGTCTGTGACACCTCTGACATATGGTAGTACAGCAGGCACACGCTCGACTGTGGCCGGCTTCACTCGGTCACTGTGACGTAGGCGCGGGACCCGAAGCTTGTTGTCGTGCAGAACTTGCTTGACGTGCTGAAGCTCGGCGGCCAGGTGTTTGCTGTCACAGATCCCTCGTGCTCTCTGTAACAAAGATTTGCCCACGGTAGCTAACTGTGAAGGATGGTGGTGAGATTCACCATTTAAATATCGGTTTGTATGGGTCTTTTTTCTATACACAGTGTGACCAATGGTGTTATTAGGATTTCGGATGACTAACACATCTAGGAAAGGTAAGGAATTATTTGCCTCTAACTCCATAGTAAATTGAATTTTAGCGTTTATGGAATTAAGATGTTCTAAAAATGCAGTTACTTTGTCTGATGGTAAAATTGTGAAAGTATCGTCTACGTACCGCTTGTAGATCCTTGGTGTAACAGGTGCAGTAAGGAGGGCTTTCTCCTCAAAGTCTTCCATGAATATATCGGCGACAATGGGAGATACAGGTGAACCCATCGCCACACCATCTCCTTGCTTGTAAAACTCTTCCTTCCACAATAGATAGCCAGATGTAAGGCAATGTCTTAGTAATACTGCATATTCTGCTGGCATGTTATTTTCCTCTAGTTTCCTAGTTATAATTGAGATGCAGTCTTCAACAGGTAGGCATGTAAATAGAGACTGAACATCAAAACTGACCATGGTTTCATTGTCAGTAAGATGTAGGTCTTTTATCTCACTGACAAAATGGTATGAATCCTTAGTGTGTGCTCTTGTGTGTCCTCTGAGTGATGATAATATTTTAACTAAGTATTGAGCCAATCTGTAAGTTGGCGAATCAATCTGACTCACTATTGGACGTAATGGAGCATTCGGTTTGTG